TTGGAGTTCAAAAAACAGGATTTTTGTTGATGTCAATTACATTTAAACGTATCATGTTATAACTTGTTACATATTAAAAAATATTAAATATTTCATTTCACTGTAATTGTAAGCATTTTATTGTGATTTTCCCCTATGAATCCAATATATTTAAACATTTAAAATAAAGAATCTATTAGGCAAGAATTCATTCCTTTTCCCATTTTTTGTTAAACCAGAAAGTTTGATCAATATTTGATATAATTTTTAAAAAAATACTTGACATTTGAGATGGCTAGTATAGACTTATTTTAAATAAATATATGATTAATATTAAGATGTTTGAAAAATTAAACTGGCTTTCAGCATAAATCAATGACGTAAGGTATTGAGAATCTGAAATTGAAAACCAATGCTGTTATAGTCAAAAATATTTATATAATCCCAACAATTGTAGTATGGGAAAATAAAATACAATTAGCCCTGCCTAATGTTTTCAAAAATACAGTCTTACGTGTTCTGAGATCTAGTGACTTGATTTTATTTTTATCTAAATTTTTCTCATTTTTATGTCCCCACTATCTTTGTTTTTTCAACAAATGAAATATAAATGTTTCTGATTATCTTGTATTAATAGTGTTACTTTAAAATTTGAAGCAAAATTTTAATTTAGCATTTAAATTTAGAGAAATGTGGGATTTTCTAATATGATTGAATTGCTACAATATCAAATACAGTTTGTATCTTTAACCGTTTCTATTCAGAGGCTCCAGCATATCTCATAGACCTGATGCATGATAAAAATAATGAAATCCGGAAGGTCTGTGATAATACATTAGATATTATAGCGGTAAGTATTCTCTCTACACAAAGTCTAATAGACTTCATTTTTGTGGGAAAAAGACATTGAAAACCTATTTTGAACCATGCATTCAGTGTAAACACATTTATATTTTGATAAGATTCAGAAAATACAATGATACTAAATTTATCTTTTTAAACATTAACTCTTTTGGCTTTCAACTTTGAAATATATAGACTCCTTACATAAAGAGGTTTTCTACGCATTTAGAGTTTAAGTCTGATCTACATGGCCTCTCAGAATCACTTGTTTTTCAGAGAAATTGTTGTATTTTAGGGGCAGGGAGTTTGAAGACAATTTTGTTCAAAACTCAAGCAATCAACTTTGCAGTTTGCCCATTAAATGTTTTAAATCAAATCAGCTATTTTTTAGTTATTTGATAATTTTTGTTAATATTGTACATAGAATTGTTTTGTAAGTTGCTTTGGAATGGTGGGAAATATAAAAATCTCAATGTCGTTTATGATTTTGGAGGTTTTTGAAGGATTCATGACTAGAGAGAGATGATCAGAGGGATGATCTAAGTCTTGGGTTAGAAGCTTATTAACCCTGCCTGGATTTGAGCCTTGCCCAGGCCTGTGCCAGATACTAGATTATTTTGAACATTTTTTACCTATGGCATATACTGCTAGACACAGCCAGCTTGCTTCCTCCTTTGAACTGGATTTGGCTCACTTTTTAAAAAGTTTATTGAATATAGCCTATTCAATAGTTTTCAAACATGTCAGAATAACAGTTTGAAAAATCAATAACTTCATTGGAAATCCACTAAGTTGGTACTTCTGCTAGTGTTATCATTGGAAACTAAACAGTCACCATTAGGAACTTTTTTGTCACTTACCTACATTTTATTTTAGAAATTCATCTTATTTGATACCCTTTGCTTTTTAGATTTGACTAAGTATTTTGTTACTGGTTTAGAACTAAATTGGTACATTGACATTTTTAGCTTTGACTCTAAGTCAGAGTAAAGAAAATGTTCATATTAAATCCTTGCTTTACCAAGATATTTCATACATGTAGGCCTCTGATCACAGAGTTTATGAATATAGAATATTTAATGTGCCTAATGAACAATTTCATGGCTCATATACTATTTTCTAGTAGATTACTATGTCATTCTTGTATGTAGTATGTATAGAATAAGAACAAGAAACTTCTTAAAGTTCTACATGTGATTATTTTACTTTAAGCAATGTGGAAAGGAGAGAGTTGTCAGTCTGTTATGTATTACCTTTGACATACTTTTTATCTACCTTATTTTGAGGAAAGGTAGATGGAAGATAATATGCTTAGATTTATATATTAGGTGTCTTTGGTTTAGAATGTAAATTAATGATAGTTCCAAAAGGCCAGCTCAACCTTATTATGAAAATATTTTGTAAAAATATGAATATATTTATTATAAAATAAATATTTTCATTTCAAATTATTTCTAA